TAAACTCGCCAGATGTTGATACAAGGGATATCGCACGAGAAGACTGCCGCCTCGTAGTTGCAAAAAGAAGACAAGAAGAAGAAGAAGAAGTAACTCCTGAACATGTCTGCTCCTATCTCTCCAAGGCCGAACTACCTGGAAGATCCAGCACTATCCAAACCATCTGGTCTCGGGCAAGAGATGCCTCTGGAAGAATGGAAACGACATGGACAGCTGATGGAGAAAACATCTCCATAACCTGTGGTGACAAGACCTTGAAGGCTGCTGCAAGAAGAATTGTAGCCAGAACCATCAGAAACCATCACAGACAACTTCGCGACGCCCGCCTACACACCCTGCGAGACCAAGGAAAGGCGATGTGTGTAGTGTCTCAAGAAAAAGCCTCCTCCCACTTCATGAGAGAGGGGGAGTACACAACGTTTGCTGACTGGCGCTTCATTCACCGAGCAAGGTTGAACTTGCTTCCCCTGAATGGAGCCACCCGACGACCAAACACCAACAAGAACTGCCGACGATGCGCCTGGCAAAATGAAACTTTGCCACATGTCATGTGTCACTGCATGACATACTCGGACGCCTACAGAAGACGCCACAACGCCTTGGTGGACAGGATCAAGACAGCCGCCTTGGGACGCCACTGGAAAGTGACAGCAGAAAACCAGCGAGTTCCAAGAGCAGACAGTGTTCTGAAGCCCGACCTCGTCATTGAGAAGGACAACGAACTGCTGATCATAGATGTCACCTGCCCCTTCGAGAACACGGAAGCCGCCTTCACGGAAGCTCGGACCGAAAAGGAGATGAAGTACGCCGACCTCGCCGCCGAGATGAGGGCCCTGCCGCGGTACAACAGAGTGACCGTCCACGCCTTCATCGTAGGACCCCTAGGATCGTACGACCCCCACAACGAGCGTCTGATGAAGAGATTGGCTTCGAAGAAGTACCTCGCGACCTTCAGGAAGCTGTGTGTGAGCGACGCCATCAGATGGTCGAGGATGCGGTACATCGAGCACATCACTGGAGCACGACAGTATGAATGATTTGTATAATATGTATATTAGCTTGTATGTAAAATTTTGTATTGTATAAATGTTAGGCTCAAAAATAATTCACACTATGTAACTTGTCTAAAAGCTCCTTTGTAAACCTTAGCTTTTGCTGTAAAATGTTAAGCTAGGCTACATGAAAGCATTGTAAAAAGACACTCTGTACCATTTTTTGAAAATAAAATCTGTTCTTATCAGCTTAATATCTGATACGATCCCCATGTGGGATCCTCGATATTAAACTGATTTTTGCAACATGGCGAAGTGCTAGGAGCTTGCTCCACCTTTGCCGCGGATCGGCCCGGTATTGCAGTACCTCTGGGATCGGTCCACTCCCTTCGGGGAGACCAAAAACAACCCTATCAACTAGTCAAAATCAAGTAGGAGACGATTATGTTAATTGGTTATGTACATTAATGAATCGTGTTAATTTGAATTGCAGTAATTACTTCACACCAGCCAACATCGTATGAGGAAAAAGCCTTGGAACGAGCAGCAGAAGTGAGTCAGTCGAGTCCGGGTTTGATGGGTCGAAGCTGAACAACTGCAACGAGTTAGAGGGAAGGAAGGAAGGAAGGAAGGAAGGAAGGAAGGAAGGAAGGAAGGAGAAAGAAGGAGAGTGAGGTGAGTAATATCATTTAATAACTTTAGATTAAAGATTATGTGCGAGCAAAGAAATACGATGGTTGGTGTGGAAGGAAAGAAGTTGATTTTATGAATGGGGGGTTGCCAGTTAGTGCAATTTTAATTGATTTTGTTTGTTTTCTGAGATAGGTTATATAGGGTGAAGTTTTTCTCTATTTATATAAGTGTGGAAACTGGTTTAGGTAGCTTAGTGGTTTGTTATGAAAAGGCTGGTAGAGATGGGTTGAATAGTGTTAGACTTGTGTCTGCATTTACTGGAGAACTGGATTTGGTATTTAAATGGCATCTAATATGATGTGGTCATTGTGCAAATAAACTCTAAATCAACGGGTTTACTATGATCGAGAACCTAACTATAATAGTTACCCATTGTTGGCATGCTCTTCTTTTTTTTACAGAATTACTCACTCTCCCTTGTGAGGGAGGGAGGGAGGGAGGAGTGTGTGTGTATATCACTCGGAATTCCTTAGTCGGCTCTGACGGCGAGATTATATTCATACATACATCAAGATTAGACGTTTATCTATTTAATTTACCATTGCTGGAATGTACCAATGCGTAATAAAGACGAAATTCGACTTGAGATGGAGGGAGGTGTTGCTTTGGTGTGGTTTTACACGGCAACTCAACGATCGTTTGCCACTTCCACGCTTGCCAGCCGGCCAGCCACTAGCCTCAAAGTGAATTCCAGTGTCTTGATTAGCTTTACAATCCATCATTTACCTCAATACACACTAACAATGTGTATTTATATACTTCAATCGAGCATTCGATGCACACATTCACCTGTAATATATACGTCAATGAAACCCAGAACCCACCCAAGTTCAAGCGCACCTGCACTCTCACCCCTCTCCATTTGAATGCTAGTTTCCTATTTAGATTTCAAATGCTTCATTCACCCCTCTAAACACCACCGACGTATATTTACATTCTTTATTTAGGCAATGTATGCAGACACACATTCATTCACGTAAAATAACGAATAAAATTGATATAGAATCTACTATAATTTGCAAAGCGACCAACCACCAAATGTCATTGTGAAAGCTAGTTTCGTAATTAGCTTTGCAATACTTCATTTACCTCCCTAAACACCAACAATGAGCGAGTATTTGTATACTCGGTAAAAGCGATGGATGGATTCCTTACACATTCACATATATTAAGCAATGAATTTGCTATAGTACCTACAGTACTCAGACTTCTCGAATTACTTACATCTTCTTATATCTTAACTTTGTTGTTCATTCAACAACAGAGTCGTTTTCCAGGGAATCGCGTTATGTTAGATGATGCATCGCCTCGCCTCGCATGGCATCGAATCGCATGTCATTGCATCGCATCGCATCGCATCGCATTGAACTGCATGGTATTGAATCACAAGGCATTGAATGGCATGGCATGGCATCACGTCACGTCTCTCGTCTCTCGTCTCTCGTCTCTCGTCTCTCGTCTCTCGTCTCTAGTCTCTAGTCTCTAGTCTCTAGTCTCTCGTCTCTCGTCTCTCGTCTCTCGTCTCTCGTCTCTCGTCTCTCGTCTCTCGTCTCTCGTCTCTCGTCTCTCGTCTCTCGTCTCTCGTCTCTCGCCTCTCGCCTCTCGCCTCTCGCCTCTCGCCTCTCGCCTCTAGCCTCTAGCCTCTAGCCTCTAGCCTCTAGCCTCTCGCCACCCAGCCCTGCCTCGCTTCGCCTCGTCTCCGGTTTGTGAAAACGATGTATCAAGCAAAGTGTTAGATGTGAAAAAGTCGTGATATATATACAAAAATGGAATAGTTGGCGCGTAATAGTGCTGTTCGTTTTCTGTTATGGTATCAGAGAGAGAACGTCTCCTATTTATATTTTTTGACGAGCGTTGGCGTAACAGGCCCCTTGCACTTTTAATTCGTTATTGTACTTTTCAAAAGCTGTAGCTACCTTAAGACACATGACAAATGGAGGTTTATGTATTAGAGTTAAGCGCTATACTCCCTGGCCAGGAGCGAATTCGTGAAACGCCACGCGAGTCTGTTTACCACTTTGCCGCCAGTTACATATTCACTACTCATGAATGAAACCATGTAATATCATGAATTTGCATATATATATAAATTCATTGATCAGGTAAGAAATGGTTAAAGCCTTTACTGCATGGCGTTTATATGTATGCTTGAATTCGAATAGTACTCAACGATAATCACATGCCCTTTTGCAATTGAAACTCGCTACGTGGTTTCTAGCCGCAATTGTTGCCTGGTGTTGCAGAGCAACCATGCATCCTATCGCTTCTCGGCCTTTTGGCTAAGATCAAAGTGTAGTACTGTACTATTGTCCGCACGCCCGCAAGGAGTTAAAGGAATAGTAGAATCTACACTTCAGCGATCCTGGTAGTCTTAAAACTACCTGTAGGGAGAGGGAGTTGGGTCGCCGCGTCGCCCATCCGCCTCCACCGGTGAGACAGCAAGCCTCACGGCTTGCTGTCCACCTCCACCGACTGGCTTGTCCGGGGCCAGTCTTTCGGTGGGAAACGCAATAAATTGCGTTTCTCTCTGAGCTTCTGCCTTGTACAAGGCTCAAGGAGCTCGGAGGGAAACTCAATTTATGCTTGCATAGATTGTGTCGGTGTCCGCACGACCTTCCCCTCCGGGTAAGAAGGAGTTAAAGGACCGGCCCAATCAGCGAGCGCGCTTCCACCAACACCGACCGTCCAGCCATCTAGTGGCGGCTTTGGGAGTTAGCCCAGACCGATCACTGGTAAAGGGGGGAGCAAGCTTCTCAAACTTTACATAGTGGCTGGCAAAACGGCAAGTCCCCCGTGATTGCCGTCGACCTTCAGGGGCTGGCCTGTCCGGGGCCAGTCGCCTGAAGGAGAGACCATAGACTCTGTCTTCCTCCACATCTGTGCCTTGAGCCAGGTGCTGGAGGACGAACATAGCCTATGCTAAACACTGACTGTGTTGTCGTCCGCACGCCCGTTTTTCGGAGTTAATGGGGCAACATAGTCAATGTCTGTCTCTAGCCCAGTCACGGCCTCGTGCGTCCATCACATGTGATGGATCCACGACGGCCTTCAAGGCTGACGGTCCCATGGGAGGTGGAGGACCAAACCCTGCAGGCGACAACCCAGGTCGCTGCCCACAGACACAACCCACACCACACCGGCCGCCAGAACGATGGACCAGCAGCATTGGTGGGAACCGAGGTCGACCTTGGTGAGTCGGCCTCGGTGCTCAAGATGGACCACGACTCGAAGACGACTGCCTGCCCTGACCCCAGCGATGTGAAAGTGGAAGATGACGATTCCAGGGACGACAGTGACGACTGTCTGGTGATCGACTTAGACGAATCGACCACGTGGATGACGACGACCGCCGGCCATGAGGTCGCCCTTGGCGAGGCGGCCTCAAGGAGGACCATACTCCCCCACTCTGGGGTCAGTCTTGGGAGGCTGGCTCGGGGTGGGGTCGACGCCCGAGGCAGAAAAGCGGGGGTCAGCGCTGTGAGGCTGGCCCACTCCACGAACAACACCGGGGTCGCCCTTGGCGAGGCGGCCTCGAGGAGGACCATACTCCCTTGCCCTGGGGTCAGTCCTGTGCGGCTGGCTCAGGGTAAGGTCGACGCGCAGGGTGTGGAAGGTGATGTGAGGCTACCCCGTGACTCCACTAGCACCACCGGGGTCGCCCTTGGCGAGGCGGCCTCGAGGAGGACCATACTCCCTTGCCCTGGGGTCAGTCCTGTGCGGCTGGCTCAGGGTAAGGTCGACGCGCAGGGTGTGGAGGAGATGTGAGGCTACCCCGTGACTCCACCAGCACCACCGGGGTCGCCCTTGGCGAGGCGGCCTCGAGGAGGACCATACTCCCTTGCCCTGGGGCCAGTCCTGTGCGGCTGGCTCAGGGTAAGGTCGACGCGCAGGGTGTGGAAGGAGATGTGAGGATACCCCGTGACTCCACCAGCACCACCGGGGTCGCCCTTGGCGAGGCGGCCTCGAGGAGGACCATACTCCCCACCCTGGGGCCAGTCCTGTGCGGCTGGCTCAGGGTAAGGTCGACGCGCAGGGTGTGGAAGGAGATGTGAGGATACCCCGTGACCCCACCAGCACCACCGGGGTCGCCCTTGGCGAGGCGGCCTCGAGGAGGACCATACTCCCTTGCCCTGGGGCCAGTCCTGTGCGGCTGGCTCAGGGTAAGGTCGACGCGCAGGGTGTGGAAGGAGATGTGAGGATACCCCGTGACTCCACCAGCACCACCGGGGTCGCCCTTGGCGAGGCGGCCTCGAGGAGGACCATACTCCCTTGCCCTGGGGCCAGTCCTGTGCGGCTGGCTCAGGGTAAGGTCGACGCGCAGGGTGTGGAAGGAGATGTGAGGATACCCCGTGACTCCACCAGCACCACCGGGGTCGCCCTTGGCGAGGCGGCCTCGAGGAGGACCATACTCCCTTGCCCTGGGGCCAGTCCTGTGCGGCTGGCTCAGGGTAAGGTCGACGCGCAGGGTGTGGAAGGAGATGTGAGGCTACCCCGTGACTCCACCAGCACCACCGGGGTCGCCCTTGGCGAGGCGGCCTCGAGGAGGACCATACTCCCTTGCCCTGGGGCCAGTCCTGTGCGGCTGGCTCAGGGTAAGGTCGACGCGCAGGGTGTGGAAGGAGATGTGAGGATACCCCGTGACTCCACCAGCACCACCGGGGTCGCCCTTGGCGAGGCGGCCTCGAGGAGGACCATACTCCCTTGCCCTGGGGCCAGTCCTGTGCGGCTGGCTCAGGGTAAGGTCGACGCGCAGGGTGTGGAAGGAGATGTGAGGCTACCCCGTGACTCCACCAGCACCACCGGGGTCGCCCTTGGCGAGGCGGCCTCGAGGAGGACCACACTCCCTTGCCCTGGGGCCAGTCCTGTGCGGCTGGCTCAGGGAAAGGTCGACTCGACAAACGAGAGGAAGGAGGCCAGTGCTACGAGGCCGGCTACCGACGATACTAGACGCCCCGAGGTCGCCCTTGGCGAGGCGGCCCCGAGAGGGACCTCTACTGGGACCACCTTCGGCAGGACAAACCCGGGGACCAGGAATGTGAAAGTGGTCCCTGATGAGATGATCACCATCAGCGACGACAGCCCCGAGGACGACCCGGATATGTTGGCTCCAAGGACGACCCCATCTAGGACGCCGTTCTACAGCTTTACATCGAGGGTCGGCCCAGGCGACTTAATCAGATCAGCTGGCGGAATCGGCTTAAGCGACCAGACCAATAAGCCCAGATTGGCGGGCGCTTCACACCTGAGGTCCGGCTCGACGCCCGCGGATCGGGGGGTCGGCACCAGCGACGCAAGCCCCGGGGTCGGCTCCAGCGACACTAGCCCTAAGGCTGACTCCACCAACAAACAATTAAGGGCTGGAGCAGGCAATACACCCCTGAGGGCAGGCCCTGGCAGTACCAGGACATACACCACTGGGGCCAACCCCAGCGACGACTCCCAGACAGCCATAGTTGCGGAGACTGGACCAGGGGTCGGCGCCAGCGACGTTCGCCCAGGAACACACTACACACGAAAACCCGGTAGGATTGGGGCCGGCAATTCACCCCTGAGGGCCGGCAATACACCCCTGAGGGCCAGCAAGACACCCCTGAGGGCCGGCCCTGGCTCCACCAAGATTTCCACCACTAGGGCCGACCCCAGCGACAACTCCCAGACAGCCACAGGCCAGGTGACGGTTTTGGGGGTCGGCGTCAGCGACGAACGAGACTTCTGGGATAGCCCTGTCTCCCAAAGACCCCGGAACAGGCGCTATACATTCAGGAGGGTCCAGAATGAATCCGACAGCAGCAATGACAGCCAGGATGCCCTAACAATGAGCCAGGAGATCAACGGGCTCCTGAACCAAGTGAGGAACGGAACCCCTGGAGGAATAATCGATCAGAATAATACACAAAGACCCCCCAACCGTGGGTCCCCTGCCCCTGGAGAAGAGAACAACGCGAACAGGGCAGCCCCTGACACCCCAAGTGCGGACCAACAGCCACAAAGACAGGGAACAACCCTCATCATTTGGTTCCCACTACCGAGACACTTCAAGTGCACTGAGACCGCCTGCCCCCACGTCCACTCAGGGAAATCATGGACGTGTCAAAGAGTTTCCCTAGTGAGACACCTGAGTGGTGGCCACAACATTAAGATCGGGCAAACAAAATACAAGTGTGCAGGGTGCAGAAAAACGTTGGGACTAAGACCGTCCACCCACTCATGTGCTCGGCTTCAAGGTATTATGGCAGCAAGACAAGATGACAGCGTCCAGTTAGCGTTCCCATGTAACAGACCGAATTGCGACTTTTCATGCAATTCAGTCATAGGGAAAATGAGTCATGAGCTGTACCACGTGAGACGAACAGGCCCGGAGCGACGGAACGACAACCAACAGGACCCAGACGGAAGGGAGCCACCCCGCACCCAAGCACCTGACCCAGCACCTCACCGCCCTGACACCCTACCCCCCCCACCCACCAACCCCACTCCACCACCACCCGCATCACCTATTCCTTTATCCCCAGTACCATCCCCCACCCCCTCACCCCCACCACCACCACCCGCATCACCTATTCCTTTATCCCCAGTACCATCCCCCACCCCCTCACCCCCACCAATCCTACCCCCTCTCCAGCACCCACAGCCTCACCGACCACCCCCCCCTCTATCACCCATTGTGATACAGGTTCCTTTCCCCCAACACCCCTCTCCTATCTACCCTGATCCCACAGGGCGTGAGGACGAAGACCGGGCCTCCCCAGAGGCGAGCGGCGAGGACGACAATGAAGACCACGGGGGTGATGTGTCTCAAATACTTGACAACGGTGATGAAGCGGTACGGCTAGATCAAGAACCAGACGAGGCCGACCAACAAGAACTGCAACCAGATGAGGCGACCCAAGACTGGGCACTAGAACCCTTCTACGCTCCCCTGCTGGCACTGCTACGCTCCCCGGACTGGGACGAGTTCTCGAGCCTCCTGAATGAAATTACAGAAGCGGTCCAAGCCCACTGCAACATCCGGATAGACGAGAGTAGACCAGCCCCCCCAGCCATCGATGTCAACAACTGCAAGGCGATCCAACGCCTTTACAGAAGGAACAGACGAAGGGCAGTGAGGCTGATCACATCAGGAGAAAGTCGCCGCTGTGAGATCCCCTGTGAGACCATAGAGAGGCATTTCTCAGAGGTCCTAGCCGCTCAACCACCAATAGAAGACCCAGCCACACTCCAGTCCATACCGGAAGCACAGGAAGATCGCGCTGAAATTAATCTGGACCCAATTAGAGAAGGGGAAGTGGGGGTTAGGCTGATGAGAGCTGAAAACAGCGCCCCTGGGAATGACAGAATCACCTACAGACACTGGAAACAGGCTGACCCTGACTGTAAGGTGATAGCGGCGATATTCAACATCTGCCTGCAACAGAAAAAGATCCCCCAGGACTGGAAAACGTCAAGAACCATCCTCATTCCCAAGGATGGTGACCCACACGACATCAATAATTGGCGGCCCATTGCTCTGTGTAGGACAATCTACAAGCTATACACAGGAGTTCTGGCCGCAAGACTGAGGAGATGGATTGAGCAAAATCAGGCCCTGTGCTCTGCGCAAAAAGGATTTATGGCATCAGACGGGGTCCTTGAGCACAATTACATCATCCAGCACTACCTTGACGAGGCACGAGACAGCAACAAAGAGATTTGCATTGCGTCACTTGACCTCACAAACGCCTTTGGTTCCGTGCCATTAGAACTCATCGACGCCTCCCTCACACGGATGGGCGTGGGAGCAGACTTTGTCACGGTGATCCAGGGCATTACAAGAGGAAATTCCACCAAGATTCAAACGGCGAGTGGTGAAACAAATGATATCCCAGCTGATTGCGGGGTCAGACAAGGATGCCCCATCAGTGGCTTATTGTTCAACATCGCAATTGAACCTATAGTGAGGTCCATCATCAACACCGGACTACAAGCAGACCCAGGTCTCAAGCATCCCTGCCTTGCCTACGCAGATGACATAACCCTGCTCTCCAGGACAGCGGAAGGCCTACAGAACCTCATCAACATCACCTCTGCAGCCTGTGAAGAGTTGCACCTAAAACTCAACCCAAGGAAATGCTCGTCAATGCACATGTCTGGACGACAACCAAGGGGAATGCGAAACTCCATATTTACAATAGGGGAATCGCAGATTTGCAGCAGACGAGATGGGGAGGAAACCAAATTCCTAGGTAGACCGGTAGGTTTCCACCTCCTCCCGAACGCAAACGCAATCGATGAGTTCAAGCAACTAGGCGTAGCCATAATGTCAAGTAAATTGGCTCCCTGGCAGAGGATCGATGCCCTGAAGTCCTTCGTCTTCCCAACAACGGTGTTCGCCATGAGAACTTGGCAACTGAGAAAGGGAGACTGGCAGGAACTTGATGACCGTTTAAGACCACTAATAAAAGAAACTCTATACCTGCCACAGCGGGCAACCAATGGCTACCTGTACGGAAAGAGTGCAGCAGGCTCGTGCGGCATACCCCTCGCCGCAGAAGACTCTGACATATTCGTCATAGACTCCGCATTCAAACTTCTCACCACGCCGGATCTAGAAACGAGGAATATTGCCAGGGACGACTGCAAGAGAGTAACGTCGCGAAGAATTCGCCAAGAAGCAACTCTGGAAAATGTATGCCAGTATCTCTCAAAAGACGACTTGGAACAAAGACCCTCTGGACATGAGACGCTCTGGTCAAGAGCCCGCAACTCGTCAGGAAGGTTGAACACCAAGTGGTCTACAGACGGAGATGCATTGGAAGTCTGTTGTGGGGAGAGAACTATGACTCACAAAGAAAGAAGGTTGGTCGCAAGGAACATCAGAAACCATCACAGAGGCCTTCGCGACGACGACCTGAGAAGTAAACCTGACCAGGGGAAAGTCATGGAGCAAGTTGGGAGGGAGAGGGCTTCGTCTGCATTTATTAGGGACGGGGCTTTTACAACCTTTGCTGACTGGCGTTTCATTCACAGGGCACGACTGAATCTTCTACCCCTAAACGGAGCCCGCCGGTTCAACATCAACGGAGACCAACGGTGTAGGAGATGTCGCCACCAGAACGAGACGCTACCCCACGTCATCAACCATTGCCTGAGGCTGTCAAATGCGATGATCCAGCGACACAACGCGCTGGTCGATCGTATCCTGAAGGCCTCAGAAGGAAGACACTGGAAGATCATTTCCACTAACCGGCAAGTTCCAGGAACGAACAATGTACTAAGACCAGACATTGTTCTAGAAAAAAACGGAGAGGTGATGCTGATTGACGTCACTTGCCCCTTCGAAAACGGACCAGACGCCTTCGCAGAAGCTAGACTAGGCAAAGAAGAAAAGTATGCAGAGCTAGCAGCGACAATGAGACGGACCTACAGGCAGGTCACTGTATATGCCTTCATTGTAGGATCACTCGGGTCATACGACCCTAAGAACGACAAACCAATGAACAGGCTGGCCTCTAGAAGATATCAGAGGCTGTTTAGGAGGCTATGCGTGAGCGACACCATCCGGTGGTCACGGATGATGTACATAGAGCACATCACAGGCGCTCGACAATACTAGTTTACATGTCTGTACCTTTTTCTCATTTCAGAATATCAATTTGTATATTACATCTGTTTTGAGTTTTTTAATGGCAGACGGCACAATGTAAATAAAGATCCCTTAACAACTATGTATGAAAATGTATATTGTATTCTATGTACACCAATGTAACTATGTACCCATGCACCCTTGTGAAGACACAAGGCTATTGTAAGCAATATGTAAAACATTCGTCAATAAAAAATTAAATCTGTTCTTATCAGCTTAATATCTGATACGATCCCCATGTGGGATCCTCGATATTAAACTGATTTTTGCAACATGGCGAAGTGCTAGGAGCTTGCTCCACCTTTGCCGCGGATCGGCCCGGTATTGCAGTACCTCTGGGATCGGTCCACTCCCTTCGGGGAGACCAAAAACAACCCTATCAACTAGTCAAAATCAAGTAGGAGACGATTATGTTAATTGGTTATGTACATTAATGAATCGTGTTAATTTGAATTGCAGTAATTACTTCACACCAGCCAACATCGTATGAGGAAAAAGCCTTGGAACGAGCAGCAGAAGTGAGTCAGTCGAGTCCGGGTTTGATGGGTCGAAGCTGAACAACTGCAACGAGTTAGGAAGGAAGGAAGGAAGGAAGGAAGGAAGGAAGGAAGGAAGGAAGGAAGGAAGGAAGGAAGGAAGGAAGGAGAAAGAAGGAGAAAGAAGGAGAGTGAGGTGAGTAATATCATTTAATAACTTTAGATTAAAGATTATGTGCGAGCAAAGAAATACGATGGTTGGTGTGGAAGGAAAGAAGTTGATTTTATGAATGGGGGGGGGGTTGCCAGTTAGTGCAATATTAATTGATTTTGTTTGTTTTCTGAGATAGGTTATATAGGGTGAAGTTTTTCTCTATTTATATAAGTGTGGAAACTGGTTTAGATAGCTTAGTGGTTTGTTATGAAAAGGCTGGTAGAGATGGGTTGAATAGTGTTAGACTTGTGTCTGCATTTAGTGGAGAACTGGATTTGGTATTTAAATGGCATCTAATATGACGTAGTCATTGTGCAAATAAACTCTAAATCAACGGGTTTACTATGATCGAGAACCTAACTATAATAGTTACCCATTGTTGGCATGCTCTTCTTTTTTTTACAGAATTACTCACTCTCCCTTGTGAGTGAGTGAGTGAGGGAGGGAGGGAGGAGTGTGTGTGTATATCACTCGGAATTCCTTAGTCGGCTCTGACGGCGAAATTATATTCATACATACATCAAGATTAGACGTTTATCTATTTAATTTACCATTGCTGGAATGTACCAATGCGTAATAAAGACGAAATTCGACTTGAGATGGAGGGAGGTGTTGCTTTGGTGTGGTTTTACACGGCAACTCAACGATCGTTTGCCACTTCCACGCTTGCCAGCCGGCCAGCCACTAGCCTCAAAGTGAATTCCAGTGTCTTGATTAGCTTTACAATCCATCATTTACCTCAATACACACTAACAATGTGTATTTATATACTTCAATCGAGCATTCGATGCACACATTCACCTGTAATATATACGTCAATGAAACCCAGAACCCACCCAAGTTCAAGCGCACCTGCACTCTCACCCCTCTCCATTTGAATGCTAGTTTCCTATTTAGATTTCAAATGCTTCATTCACCCCTCTAAACACCACCGACGTATATTTACATTCTTTATTTAGGCAATGTATGCAGGCACACATTCATTCACGTAAAATAACGAATAAAATTGATATAGAATCTACTATAATTTGCAAAGCGACCAACCACCAAATGTCATTGTGAAAGCTAGTTTCGTAATTAGCTTTGCAATACTTCATTTACCTCCCTAAACACCAACAATGAGCGAGTATTTGTATACTCGGTAAAAGCGATGGATGGATTCCTTACACATTCACATATATTAAGCAATGAATTTGCTATAGTACCTACAGTACTCAGACTTCTCGAATTACTTACATCTTCTTATATCTTAACTTTGTTGTTCATTCAACAACAGAGTCGTTTTCCAGGGAATCACGTTATGTTAGATGATGCATCGCCTCGCCTCGCCTCGCATGGCATCGAATCGCATGTCATTGCATCGCATCGCATTGAACTGCATGGTATTGAATCACAAGGCATTGAATGGCATGGCATGGCATGGCATGGCATGGCATGGCATCACGTCTCTCGTCTCTCGTCTCTCGTCTCTCGTCTCTCTCGTCTCTCGTCTCTCGTCTCTCGTCTCTCGTCTCTCGTCTCTCGCCTCTCGCCTCTCGCCTCTCGCCTCTCGCCTCTCGCCTCTCGCCTCTAGCCTCTAGCCTCTAGCCTCTAGCCTCTCGCCACCCAGCCCTGCCTCGCTTCGCCTCGTCTCCGGTTTGTGAAAACGATGTATCAAGCAAAGTGTTAGATGTGAAAAAGTCGTGATATATATACAAAAATGGAATAGTTGGCGCGTAATAGTGCTGTTCGTTTTCTGTTATGGTATCAGAGAGAGAACGTCTCCTATTTATATTTTTTGACGAGCGTTGGCGTAACAGGCCCCTTGCACTTTTAATTCGTTATTGTACTTTTCAAAAGCTGTAGCTACCTTAAGACACATGACAAATGGAGGTTTATGTATTAGAGTTAAGCGCTATACTCCCTGGCCAGGAGCGAATTCGTGAAACGCCACGCGAGTCTGTTTACCACTTTGCCGCCAGTTACATATTCACTACTCATGAATGAAACCATGTAATATCATGAATTTGCATATATATATAAATTCATTGATCAGGTAAGAAATGGTTAAAGCCTTTACTGCATGGCGTTTATATGTATGCTTGAATTCGAATAGTACTCAACGATAATCACATGCCCTTTTGCAATTGAAACTCGCTACGTGGTTTCTAGCCGCAATTGTTGCCTGGTGTTGCAGAGCAACCATGCATCCTATCGCTTCTCGGCCTGTTTTGGCTAAGATCAAAGTGTAGTATCTGTTCTGTGCCTTGAGCCAGGTGCTGGAGGATGAACATAGCCTATGTTCACATTGATTGTGTTGTCGTCCGCACGCCCGTTTTTCGGAGTTAATGGGGCAACATAGTCAATGTCTGTCTCTGTCCCAGTCACGGCCTCGTGCTTCTATCACTTGTGATGGATCCGCGACGGCCTTCAAGGCTGACGGTCCCATGGGTGGAGGAGGACCAAACCCTGCAGGCGGCAACCCAGGTCGCTGCCCACAAACACAACCCACAGTACTGACACCACACTGGCCGCCTGAAAGATGGACCAGCGACGACGGTGGGACCCGAGGTCGACCTTGGTGAGTCGGCCTCAGTGCTCAAGATGGACCACGACTCGAAGACGACTGCCTGCCCTGACCCCATCGATGTGAAAGTGGAAGATGACGATTCCAGGGACGACTCCAGTGACGACTGTCTGGTGATCGACTTAGACGAATCGACCACGTGGATGACGACGACCGCTGGCCATGAGGTCGCCCTTGGCGAGGCGGCCTCAAGGAGGACCATACTCCCCCACTCTGGGGTCAGTCTTGGGAGGCTGGCTCGGGGTGGGGTCGACGCTGGGAGCAGAAACGCGGGGGTCAACGATGTGAGGCTGGCCCATCCTGTAGACAACACCGAGGTCGCCCTTGGCGAGGCGGCCTCGAGGAGGACCTTACTCCCCCGCCCTGGGGTCAGTCCTGTGAGGCTGGCTCAGGGTAAGGTCGACGCGAGAGGTGGAACCGCGAGGCTGGCCCGTAATGCTGCCGACAACACCGGGGTCGCCCTTGGCGAGGCGGCCTCGAGGAGGACCATACTCCCTCGCCCTGGGGTCAGTCCTGTGAGACTGGCCCAGGGTGGGGTCGACACGAGAGGTAGAGCCATGGAGGTCGACACTGTGAGGATGGCCTGTGACGCTGCCGACAACACCGGGGTCGCCCTTGGCGAGGCGGCCTCGAGGAGGACCATACTCCCCCACCCTGGGGTCAGTCCTGTGAGGCTGGCTCCGGGTGGGGTCGACGCCAGAGATGGGAACGGGACGGTCAGCACTGTGAGACCAGCCTGTGACTCTACAGACAACACCGGGGTCGCCCTTGGCGAGGCGGCCTCGAGGAGGACCATACTCCCCCACTTTGGGGTCAGTCCTGTGAGGCTGGCTCAGGGTGGGGTCGACGCGCGAGGTGAGGGTGTGAATATAAGGCCACCCTATGACTCCACTAGCACCACCGGGGTCGCCCTTGGCGAGGCGGCCTCGAGGAGGACCTCACTCCCCCACTCTGGGGTCAGTCCTGTGAGGCTGGCTCCGGGTGGGGTCGACACCCGAGATGAGGACAAGGGGGTCAGCGCTGTGAGGCTGACCCACGACGATACCAGCGACGACGATACCGGGGTCGCCCTTGGCGAGGCGGCCTCGAGGAGGACCTTACTCCCCCGCCCTGAGGTCAGTCTTGGAAGGCTGGCCCTGGGTGGGGTCGACCCGAGTGGCACCAACCAGGAGGACACCACTGGGAGGCTGACCCATGACGCTACCAGCCCCGAGGACGACACCAACATGATGACATCGAGGACGACTCCACCCAGGAAGCCGTTCTATAGTTTTGCATCTTGGGTCGGCTTCAGTGACGAAAGCATGTCAGCCCATGGGATAGGCGCCGGTGCTTCCCACTTGAGATCCAGCTCACGACCAGGGTTGGCTGGCGACATGGAACTGGGGGTCGGCACCAGCGACGCAAGCCCGGGGGTCGGCACCAGCGACGCAAACCCGGGGGTCGGCTTCAGCGACACTAGCCCTGGGGCTGGCTCCCTCAACGAGCCCTTAAGGGCTGGTGCCTACAATGAGCCCTTAAGGGCTGGCCCTGGCAATACCAACACATCCCCTACTCAGGCCGACCCCAGCGACGACGCCCGGCCAGTCACGGTTCAGGAGACTATTTTGGGGGTCGGACCAGCGACAATACTGCTTCTAACACAAATGCAGACAACGACGTTGACTTCTGGGACGACGTTAACATTCACAGGCAGAGGAACCAGAGATTCGTCTTCCGCCATATAGCAAGAGACTCTGGCACCAGCAGTGATGACGACAGTCGCTCCCAGGCCTCATCAGCCCCAGCAGGAAACGACAACACCCCAGAGGCCCCTCAAGGGGCGCCACCAGCCCTCAGGGGGAACGACGACAACGACAACGAACCTAGCCCTGACCAGCAGCCGCAGAGACGAGGGGAAGCCCTCACCATCTTGTTCCCACTCCCTAGACACTAAGTGCACAGAAACGCCCTGCGCCCACGTCCACTTATCACAGGCGTGGACCAGCCAGCGTGTGTCGTTGCAACGACACCTGGAGGGTGGCCATGGGCTCCGCATTTCAGAATTAATATACAAATGCGCCGGCTGCAGCTCAACCCTACGAAAACGACCAACGACCCACACCTGTGCCCGCCTACGAGAAATTCGGGCTGCTAGGACCCTGGACGACTGCCCCTTGTCGTTCCAGTGCGATGCCCGCGTCTGTGGGTTCTCGTGCAATTCCAAAATTGGCATAATGAGCCACAGGGAAATGCACTCCCGTCAAGCAACCAGAGAAGCCCGCCGAGCGGCCAGGCAGCCTGCACTAGACAGGGTGCAACGACAGCCTGACCCACCACCAGACGACGGACGACGACACCCTGGCCAAGTACCAACACCCAGCCCTGACGACCCGGCCCCTGCTGTCATCTCCAGCTCTGCTGAGGCGCCTGCACCACTGATATTCGCCCCAGCCAGCTTATCTCCGACGCCCAACAGCCCAATACCCTCACCGGCCCTGTCACCACCCCGGCTTAGGCAACCACAGAGAGCTCACCCGCTCTCACCTGTTGTGACGGTGATACCCTTCCCAGACATGCCCTCACCAACCCCCCTGAGCCAGACAATGACGATGGGGGTGACCCAGCTTCTCCAGCAACCAGCACCAACAACTCTGACAATGAAGATGTTGATGCTTCGCCCCACCATGATCATGAGATCCCAGGAGAGCCACTGCAGCGTCACACTAACGACGCAGCACAAGAATGGGTGCTAGAGGTGTTTTACGACCCCCTACTAGCCCTCCTCCGGACCCCTGACTGGGAGGGCTTCACCCGCCTCCTTGAAGAAATCACTGAAGTAGTACACGCACGCTTCCGCATTCGGACTGACGGGGAACGGCAAGCACCCCCAGTGATCGATGTAAATGACTGTAAATCGATCCAGCGCCTCTACAGGAACAACAGGAGGTGAGCAGTCCGACTTATCACCGCCGGGGAGAGTGCAAGATGTGAAATCTCGAGCGAGGACGTTGAGAAGTACTTCACAGAGATGCTGGCGCCCAGGCCAGCACTAGACGACCCCCAGGCCAGCACTAGACGACCCCCAAGCACTACAAGCAATCCCTGAACCGCCAGACGATCGTGCAGAACTCAACGTGGCTGCGTTTAGGGAGGGCGAAGTGGAAATTAGATTGTCAAAAGCAGAGAACACTGCACCGGGTGACGACAGAATAACGTACCGACACTGGCAACAAGTCGACCCAGAGTGCAAGGTTCTCACAGCAATATTCAACATCTGCCTGCACCACAAGTGAATACCCCAGTCGTGGAAAACATCGCGAACTATCCTGATCCCGAAAGATGGGGACCCTGAAGCCATCACCAACTGGCGCCCAATCGCCTTGTGTCGTACCATATACAAACTGGAACAAGTCCTCCTGGCTGGATCCAGATGTAACCAAGAGCAGACATGGTACAGTAAGCATGGTAGTAGCGACCCGGGCTGCGGCACCAGTACCATCTAGGACACTTGCACCGGGTGACGACAGAATAACGTACCGACACTGGCAACAAGTCGACCCAGAGTGCAAGGTTCTCACAGCAATATTCAACATCTGCCTGCACCACAAGTGAATACCCCAGTCGTGGAAAACATCGCGAACTATCCTGATCCCGAAAGATGGGGACCCTGAAGACATCACCAACTGGCGCCCAATCGCCTTGTGTCGTACCATATACAAACTGTACACAGGGTGCTTGGCTGCCCGTCTGAGAAGCTGGATCGTGCACAACAATGCACTTTGCAACGCCCAGAAGGGGTTTATGCCAACGGACGGCGTGCTGGAGCACAACTTCATCCTCCAGCACTACCTTGACGAAGCACGAGGAGGAAACAGTGACGTCTACATTGCGTCGCTGGACCTGACGAACGCGTTTGGATCAGTGCCAACCGAGCTGATCGACGCCTCCCTCCGCCGGATGGGTGCAGGACAAGCCTTCATCGACGTCGTCCAGAGCATCACAAGGGACAACTCTACGAGGATCATGACGGCCGATGGTGAAACGAACGTGATTCCTGTGCACTGTGGAGTCACAAGTGAATACCCCAGTCGTGGAAAACATCGCGAACTATCCTGATCCCGAAAGATGGGGACCCTGAAGCCATCACCAACTGGCGCCCAATCGCCTTGTGTCGTACCATATACAAACTGTACACAGGGTGCTTGGCTGCCCGTCTGAGAAGCTGGATCGTGCACAACAATGCACTTTGCAACGCCCAGAAGGGGTTTATGCCAACGGACGGCGTGCTGGAGCACAACTTCATCCTCCAGCACTACCTTGACGAAGCACGAGGAGGAAACAGTGACGTCTACATTGCGTCGCTGGACCTGACGAACGCGTTTGGATCAGTGCCAACCGAGCTGATCGACGCCTCCCTCCGCCGGATGGGTGCAGGACAAGCCTTCATCGACGTCGTCCAGAGCATCACAAGGGACAACTCTACGAGGATCATGACGGCCGATGGTGAAACGAACGTGATTCCTGTGCACTGTGGAGTCCGCCAAGGCTGCCCTATCAGTGGGCTCTTGTTCAATATTGCAATTGAACCTATCTTACGAACGGCCATTGCAACTGGCCTTGATACCGATCCTGACTTCAAACACCCCTGCCTGGCCTATGCAGATGACATCACACTGCTGGCCAGAACTGAAGCAGGTCTACAGAGCCTCCTGGACGTCACAACGGCGACCTGTGGGGACCTGAGACTGGCTCTAAACCCCAGAAAATGCTCCTCTATGCATATGTCTGGGAGACAGCCAAGGGGAATGAGAAATACGACCTTCAACATCGGCGAGACGAACATCAACTGCCGTAGAAACGGCGAAGAAACTAAGTTCCTTGGCCGGCCAGTAGGATTCCACCTACTGCCAAATTCTACAGCAATTGACGAATTCAAGAAGCTGGGGGAAGCCATACTGACCAGCAAGTTGGCGCCCTGGCAAAGGATTGATGCTCTAAAGACCTTTGTATTCCCCACGACGGTATTCGCCATGAGAACGTGGCAGCTGAGGAAGGGAGACTGGCAGGAGCTTGATGATCATCTAAGGAAATTAATCAAGTCAACACTCTATCTCCCGACCCGAGCTACAAATGACTACCTATATGGCAGCGCAGCGGCAGGCTCCTGTGGAATCCCCCTTGCTGCAGAGGACTCAGACGTGTTTGTGATTGATTCGGCCTTCAAACTTCTTACTACGCCGGACCAAGACACAAGAAACATCGCGAGAGAGGACTGCACCAAGGTCGTGACCCGGAGACTACGAGAAGACGCTACATTAGTGAATGTCTGCCAATACCTGTCCAAGGAAGCAATGGCTCAGCGGCCGACTGATCACGAAACAGTCTGGTCCAGAGCAAGAAATGCATCAGCAAGACTAGACACGAAATGGTCTGCCGACGGCGAAGAGTTAGCACTAACATGCGGGGAACGGACCATGACAAAGAAGGAGAGAAGACTCGTGGCAAGGAACATCCGCAATCACCATCGTGGACTCAGAGACGAACGCCTGCAGGACAAGCCGGACCAAGGAAAAGTGATGAAGCAAGTCGCAAAAGTCCGAGCCTCGTCCTCCTTCATCTACGACGGAGCATTCACTACCTTTGCAGACTGGAGGTTCATCCACAGGGCTAGGCTTAATCTCCTCCCCCTCAATGGAGCAAGGCGCTTCAATGTTAACTCTGACAAACGTTGCAGGCGTTGCAGGAACCCAAACGAGACTCTACCACATGTTCTTAACCACTGCATGAGGCTGTCCAACCCCATGAACAAGCGCCACAATGCACTAGTTCAACGGATCGTGAAAGCTGCTGAAGGACGATTCTGGAAGGTCATCACGGCGAATCAGCAGATCCCTGGCATCGACAGCAACCTACGGCCGGACATCGTCCTCGAGAAGAATGGAGAAGTCCTCCTCGTCGACGTGACGTGCCCCTTCGAGAACGGCGAAGCCTCCCTGGATGAAGCCAGGCTGCGAAAGGAGCAGAAATATGCGCCGATTGCAGCTGCGCTGAGACGGACCTACAAGCAGGTTACTGTCCACGCCTTCATCGTGGGCTCACTAGGCTCGTACGATCCGAGGAATGACAAGTTGATGAACAGGCTCGCCTCCAAGAAGTACCAGAAGCTCTTCAGGAAGCTCTGCGTCACCGATACGATTCGATGGTCGAGGATGATCTACATCGAACACGTGACCGGCGCCCGGCAGTATTGATTTCCATTTATTTGTGCTATCTCTTGCAGGACCATGCCATTTCTTTCAGAATATGTCTATGCTATTTGTTTCAGGAATTTGCATTATTATGAGTTCCATTGTAAAATTTCCATATGCAGCCCTCTGTGGGAATTGTCACAAGGCATTATGTACAACTCCTGTAACATTATTCAATAAACAAATAATCTGTTCTTATCAGCTTAATATCTGATACGATCCCCATGTGGGATCCTCGATATTAAACTGATTTTTGCAACATGGCGAAGTGCTAGGAGCTTGCTCCACCTTTGCCGCGGATCGGCCCGGTATTGCAGTACCTCTGGGATCGGTCCACTCCCTTCGGGGAGACCAAAAACAACCCTATCAACTAGTCAAAATCAAGTAGGAGACGATGATGTTAATTGGTTATGTTCATTAATGAATCGTGTTAATTTGATTTGCAGTAATTACTTCACACCAGCCAGCATCGTATGAGGAAAAAGCCTTGGAACGAGCAGCAGAAGTGAGTCAGTCGAGTCCGGGTTTGATGGGTCGAAGCTAAACAACTGCAACGAGTTAGAGGAAGGAAGGAAGGAAGGAAGGAAGGAAGGAAGGAAGGAAGGAGAAAGAAGGTGAGTAATATCATTTAATATCTTTTGATTGAAGATTATGTGAGCAAATACGATGGTTTGGAAAGAAAGAAGTTGATTTTATGAATGGGGGGTTGCCAGTTGGTGCAATATTAATTGATTTTCTTTTCTTTTCTGAGATAGGTTATATAGGGTGAAGTTTTTCTCTATTTATATAAGTGTGGAAACTGGTTTAGTGGTTTGTTATGAAAAGGCTGGTAGAGATGGGTTGAATAGTGTTAGGCTTGTGTCTGCATTTAGTGGAGAACTGGATTTGCTATTTAAATGGCATCTAATATGACGTGGTCATTGTGCAAATCAACTCTAAATCAACGGGTTTACTATGATCGAGAACCTAACTATAATAGTTACCCATTGTTGGCATGCTCTTCTTTTTTTTACAGAATTACTCACTCTCCCTTGTGAGTGAGGGAGGGAGGAGTGTGTGTGTATATCACTCGGAATTCCTTAGTCGGCTCTGACGGCGAAATTATATTCATACATACATACATCAAGATTAGACGTTTATCTATTTAATTTACCATTGCTGGAATGTACCAATGCGTAATAATGACGAAATTCGAGGTGAGATGGAGGGAGGTGTTGCTGTGGTGCGGTCTTACACGCCAGCTCAACGATCGTTTGCCACTTCCACACTTGCCCGCCACTAGCCTCAAAGTGAATTCTAGTGTCTAGATTAGCTTTACAATCCATCATTTACCTCAATACACACTAACAATGTGTATTTATATACTTCAATCCAGCATTCGATGCACACATTCACCTATAATATATACGTCAACGAAACCCAGAACCCACCCAAGTTCAACCGCACCTGCACTCTCCCCCCTCTCCATTTGAATGCTAGTTTCCTAATTAGATTTCAAATGATTCATTCACCCCTCTAAACACCACCGACGTATATTTACATACTTTATTTAGGCAATGTATGCAGGCACACATTCATTCATTCACGTAAAATAACGAATAAAATTGATATAGAATCTACTATAATTTGCAAAGCGACCAACCACCAAATGTCATTGTGAAAGCTAGTTTCGTAATTAGCTTTGCAATACTTCATTTACCTCCCTAAACACCAACAATGAGTGAGTATTTCTAAACTTGATAGAAGCGATGGATGGACATTCACATATAATAAGCAATGAAATTGCTATAGTACCTACAGTACTCAGACTTCTCGAATTACTTACATCTTGTTATATCTTAACTTTGTTGTTCATTCAACAATTGAGTCGTTTTCCAGGGAATCACGTTATGTTAGATGATGCATCTCAGGTAATGGAGGGTGGCAATAGTGGAGGGTGGCAGTAGTGGAGGGTTGCAGTAGTGGAGGGTGGTGGTAGGGTAGGGTGTTGGCAGTGGAGGCTGGCAGTAGTGGAAGGTGGCGGTAGTGGAGAGTGGCAGTAGTGGAGGGTGGCAGTACTATAGTGTGTCAGTAGTGGAGGGTGGCAGTAGGTGAGGGGTAGCAGTAGTTGATGGTGGAGGTAGTGGAAAGTGGCAGTAGTGGAGAGTGATGCCAGTGGAAGGTGGAAGTAGTGGAGGGTGGCAGTAGTGCAATGCGGCAGCAGTGGAGAGAGCCACAGCAGTGTAGGGTGGCAGTAGAAGAGGGTGGCAGTTGAGGGTGGTGGTAAGGGAGGGTGGCAGTTGTGAAGGGTGGCAGTAGTGGAGGATTGCAGTAGTGTAAGGTGGTGGTGGTAGTTGAGGGTGCCTGTAGTGGAGGGTGGCAGTAGTGGAGGTTGGCAGTAGTGAGGGGTTGAAGTAGTGAAGTGTGGCAGTAGTGGAGGGTGGCAATAGTGGCGGGTGGCAGTCATGGAGGGTGGCAGTAGTGGAGGGTGGCAGTATTGGAGAGTGGCAGTAGTGGAGGGTGGCAGTAGGGGAGGGTAGCATTAGAGGATGTTGGTCGTAGTGGAGGGTGGCGGTAGTGGAGGGTGGCAGTAGTGGATGGTGGCAGTAGTGGAGGGTGGTGGTAGTGGAGGGTGGCGGCAGTCGAGGATGGCGGTAGTGGAGGGTGGCAGTAGTGGAGGGTGGCAGTAGTCGATGGTGGTCGTAGTGGAGGGTGGCAGTAGTGGATGATGGCAGCAGTGAAGGGTGGCAGTAGTGGAGAGTAGTGGTAGTGGAGGGTGGCAGCAGTCGAGGGTGGCGGCAGTCGAGGATGGCGGTAGTGGAGGGTGGCAGTAGTGGAGGGTGGCAGCAGTGAAGGGTGGCAGTAGTAGAGGGTGGTGGTAGTGGAGGGTGGCAGTAGTAGAGGATGGCAGTAATAAAGGGGAGTGATAGTGGAGGGTGGCAGTAGAGAAGGGTGGCAGTAGTGGAAGGTGGCGGCAGTGGAGGGTAGTGGTACTGGAGGGTGACGGTAGTGGAGGGTGGCGGTAGTGGAGGGTGGCGGTAGTGGAGGGTGGCAGTAGTGGAGGGTGGCTGTAGTGGAGGGTGGCGGTGATGGAGGGTGGTAGTAGTGGAGGGTGGCAGTAGTGGGGGGGTTGAAGTAGTGAAGGGTCGCAGTAGTGGAGGGTGGTGGTCATGGAGGGTGGTAGTAGTGGAGGGTGGCAGTAGTATAGTGTGTCAGTAGTGGATGGTGGTCTTAGTAGTGTAGGGTGGCAGTAGTGGAGGTTGGAGGTAGTGGAGGGCTGCGGTAGTGCAGGGTGGCAGCAGTGAAGGGTGGCAGTATGGGAGGGTGGTGATAGTGGAGGATGGCAGTAGTGGAGGGTGGTAGTAGAAGAGAATGGCAGTAATGGAGGGTGGTGGTGTTGGAGGGTGGCGGTAGTGGAGGGTGGCGGTAATGGAGGGTGGCGGTAGTGGAGGGTATCGGAAGTGGAGGGTAGCGGTAGTGGAGGGTGCCGTTAGTGCAGGGTGGCAGGAGTGGAGGGTGGCGGTAGTGGAGGGTGGCGGTAGTGGAGGGTGGTGGTAGTGAAGGGTGGCGGTAGTGGAAAGTGGTGGTAGTGGAGGGTGGCGGTAGTGGAGGGTGGCGGTAGTGGAGGGTGGCGGTAGTGGAGTGTGGCGGTAGTGGAGTGTGGCGGTAGTGGAGTGTGGCGGTAGTGGAGTGTGGCGGTAGTGGAGTGTGGCGGTAGTGGTGGGTGGCGGTAGCGGTGGGTGGCAGTAGTGGGGGGTTGAGGTAGTAAAGGGTGGCAGTAGTGTAGGGTGGCAATAGTAAAGGGTGGCGGTAGTGTAGGGTGGCGGTAGTGGAGGGTGGCGGTAGTGGAGGGTGGCGGTAGTGGAGGGTGGCAGAAGTAGAAAGTGGCAGTAGTTGAGGGTGGTGGTAGGGAAGGGTGGTGGAAGCGGGGGTGGTGGTAGTAGTGGGTGGCAGTAGTGGAGGGTGGCAGTATTGGAGGATGGCAGTAGTATAGTGTGTCAGTAGTGGAGGGTGGCAGTAGTGGAGGGTGGCAGTATTGGAGAGTGGCAGAAGTGGAGGGTGGCAGAAGTGAAAGGTAGCAGTAGTGGATGGTGGTCGAAGTGGAGGGTGGCAGTAGTGGATGGTTGAGGTTGTGGAGGGTGGTGGTAGTGCAGGGTGACAGTAGTGGAGGGTGGCAGTAGTGGAGGGTGGCAGTAGTGTAGGGTGGTGGTAGTGGAGGGTGGGGGTATTGGAGGGTGGCAGGAGTGGAGGGTGCTGGTAGTAAAGGGTGGCAGTAGTGTAGGGTTGCGATAGTGGAGGGTGGCGGTAGTGGAGGGTGGCATTGGTGGGGGGTTGAGGTAGTGAAGGGTAGCAGTAGTAGTAGTATAATCCGAGCCAGATAGGGGCACTTCACAAACAATGGGGGGTACTTATCAGACAAAGGAATCAGAGGCGGGGTGACAGATAGACCCACCTCAAATTGTAGTCTACGGTGCGCCCCCGCCATATTTCACTTACACTGGGTATCTCCGTTTAAACACTACGTCATTATATAGGACTAATTAAGGCTATATATATTCGAACAAGTCTGAATGGCCCCTCCAGGACTATGTGCATATATGTCCGGAGCTATATAGGATATATATATACTCAAAATAAAAGTGGGTGAAAAAGAAATAACACTTGTTTTATACAATATATTAACAAAAGTACATAGTGGCTTAAACGTAGTCGTAATCTAATTCCCCCCCATAATATTGTCTAACTAGACCCCTCCTCCGTGCCCACAGGTCTGTTGTGGGGTCTTCCTCCCCCTCCTGGGGTGATGATGACGATGAGTCATCATCCAGAGGGAGAAAGAGGTGTTGTGGTTCTTCTTCCTCTCCTAGGGGGCTACTGTCGTCATAGCATTCACTCTCACTGGAAGGGTGTCGCCCTTCCTCCCCTTGTGGCTCGATGACGTCATCACTTTCACTTCCAGCGGTCACCCCTTGGGTTGAGGAGGATGGGTGGGGGTCAGGTGGTATGTCTGGATGGCCATAGTC